CATGTATGTATCTGGACAATTTGTTCTCTCTGATGCAATTCCATTTCCGTTACTAAGATGGATAGATTGGAAAGGCCTTATTAAGTCCATGAAGCGTATTTCCGAGGAATTGGATTCCCATTGTCGACGTTTGGATTCAAGAGCATATCCAAAAAAGACTTACTCGACAGTGAGCCTGCAGGCGATGAGCAGCAGGATTTCATCGACGTGTTGCTTTCAGTACTCGATGATCAATTCATGTATGGTCATAAGCGTGAAACTATTATCAAGGCAACAATACTGGTATGTCTTCTAATACAACTGCGTCGTTGAGGGTTTTCTTTTCTTTTATTTTTTTGGTTATCTGATCATCATTGAATGATTAAGTAGTTGGATGAGAGGCAGAGGACCACGGCTTCTCTAATTCTTTTAAGTTAGTCTATCTAGCCGACACATACGGTCTATCTTGCTAACGTTATGATGCTTCTAGTCAATACGAGAGAGAGAGAGAGAGAGAGAGAGAGAGAGAGAGAGAGAGAGAGAGAGGGTAATTAACCCATAAAAATAACTTCATATTAGGTGCCCTTTGGTGCATTGATGACAACGGCTGTTGCCAAAAAAAATCTAGCCTATGACGTCATAAATGGCACAATCCATGATACCATTCAAGGTACCACAAAAGTCTCAATGGTGGGTGGATGAGACTTCCCACTCATAGATTTTAGTGATCTTTTCTTTAAAGAAACAGTAAGAAACAACTAAATACGTGGAGGAAGAATAGTCAAATTGCTAGTGTCCATCAACAGCATCATTAATGTACTGAAATGGCTTCTTTTTAGTTTAGAAATGTTGGATAATAGATAGTCTAAGTGTCGTGCAATGCACCTTCAAGTCTCCAATTTCCCCTTTAAGCAAACTAGTCAGCTGAATTAATATATTCTGCAGATTGATCAATCATTCAGTAGAAAAGGAAAATAGTAAGACTCTGGACAATTTGGGTGCTTCGGAAATTATTTTTTGAGCCAAAAATACAGAGAGAATTGAATCTTATCGATATAATTGAGGCCTGGGACTGAATCCCCTATAGATTTTGGAGGCCCTTTTTTTTTCAATACTCTACAACCTCAGATTTTTTGATCAGAACTTTTCCACCCGCAGAATCTAATTTTAGCAGGCTCCGATACCACAGCAAACAACTTGACTTGGCTCCTGTCCATATTGTTGAACAATAGGCACGTGATGAAGCGTGCCCAAGAAGAGATAGAGATCAAAGTTGGCAAAAACAAATGGGTAGAAGAATCAGATATCAATAATTTGGTCTACCTTCAAGCCATAGTTAAAGAAACATTGCGCCTATACCCACCAGGCCCTCTATCAGTGCCACATGAAGCCATGGAAGACTGTAATGTGGGTGGCTATCACATTCCAAAGGGCACTCGTTTGTTAGTCAATGTGTGGAAGCTGCACCGAGACCCTCGGATTTGGTCAGACCCCGAGACATTTATGCCAGAGAGGTTTTTGACAAACCACACAGAGGTAGATGTTGGTGGTCAGCAGTTTGAGTACACCCCATTTGGGTCTGGTAGACGATCTTGCCCGGGGATGACATTTGCTATGCAAGTGACACACTTGACACTTGCTCGGTTACTTCAAGGTTTCGACTTTAAGACACCAGCAGACGCCCCAGTGGACATGACTGAAGGCCTAGGTATTACCTTGCCTAAGGCCACTCCGGTACATGTTCTGATCACCCCTCGTCTTTCTTCTGAGCTCTATGGATAGTAGAACTAAAGGAAAAACAACTAGCTCTCGAGCTGGTCATGTATATATATATATATATAAGATATGGCTGCATATTGTGAATGGCTGTGTGTTAAATCTACAATGATGCCAGCTCCATGTAAATTGAAAATAAGTTTCTGTTGGGTTTCCTACAGAGAAGTTGAAGAATCTCTCATTCCTTCATGGATTTTAAAGAGGAATCTACATTGTCAATGATATCTTTCTTGGCTGTCCATGTTAGGACAGTCTTGCTAGATTTTAATAACAGATTACTTACCGGAAAACAAAAAAAAAAACAGAGATTAGTAATAGTATTCTTACTCTGCTACTGTGCTCATTCCACCAATTGGGTTAAAGGCCACAGAAATCCGCTAAACACAACTATACACCATACGAATTTGAATGTGCACAACCATAAATGAGTCGGACATTGATTAAATAAATTTTAACTAGACAAGATAAAATTTGACATAATACAACTTATTGTCACCCTAATTAGTACAAAAAGAGGTTTGTCAATTGCCTTGTCTTTTTCTCTTTGTTTGTTGGTTGATTTAATATAGCCACCACAGTAGAATTACCAAATAACACAATAGAAAATTTTGGAGTTTGTAGTAAAACTTATTGTGTGCAAGTATTTTCCTCTCAAACTTGGTATGTAGTCGTTAATGGGGAAAGGGGATTGGGGATCCAAACCATTGCCACATGTGGGTGGTACGCCCCCGGTTCCCTATCCCACAAAATGTCTAACTTTTTTGCGTTTGTGTTTGGAAAGCAGAAGAAATAGTGTTGAATATCTCACTTGGGCCTATTCAAGGCCCAATTTAAAACAATAGCGTTTTACTATAGATTTTTTATGGGTCGGTACTTAGGTTGTATTTGTTAAAACTGAAAATTGAATTACGAAAATTGAAAGGTGAACTTGGATGCTGAATTTGTGTATTGTTTGGTATCTACAAAAATTTAAGGACTAAATTAAACCAAAGTATTTGTTAACTACACAGAGCTGACGTCTGAAAATAAATTAATTTTCAATTTTACCCTTATATTATTTAATTTTAAAATATTTATAAAAATATAATTTTATCTAATAAAAAATAATAATATATTAAATCAATTTAATTCATAACATAAAACATAATTACTATTATCATATTGTAGTCTATATTTAACAAACATGATAATAAAATTAATTTAAGTTAAATTAATCACTTATAGCTACCAATTGTCATAAATTTTAAAAATTACAACTAGGATACAAATAAATAAATAATCGAATTAAAAAAATAAATAAATTAAATCTCATTAATAATATATGTGTGTGTATGTGTGCAACTTGTGCTTCGGGTGTGTGTGCGTGTGTGTGGGTGTGGGTGTGTGTCTGTGCGTGCACACAATGAATGTGTGTGTGTTTCAGTATATTTATTTGCAGCAGACAAGCGAAAAAAAAAAAAAAAAAAGAAGAAAAAGACTATTGACAAGGAGGATAGCTAGGCTAAGGGTTTTAGAGAGAATACTAAATAGAGTTTTATATGATTGTAAAGTATTTCGAAGTATAATTGTCATACTATTAAAGATGATTTTATTGAACGTTTTCTTTTTTTAGAATTAAGTAAGAGATCTTCTACTTAATATTGTAGCTTATTTTAAAATAGCACTTAATATATTAAGAAAGTTAAAATTTTAGTTATCAAACGAGCTTAATTAATAAGTGCCAAATATATTTATTTTAAGTGTTGAATTTGGTTAATAAACACACCTTTAATTTACTACTTAATTGTAAAAAGGTACTAGTACAAAATATTTTATATAGAAATATTTTTTTTGTTATGACAGAAATACCCATAAGGGAACAATTACCAAGCATAAAAAGTGAATAAAAAAATTGTCATAAATCATATAACAATCTCATTAAATTTGGCATCTCCTATATCCCTCAAAATATGAGTTTTCAAATTTTAAAAAAAAATTGCTACAAAATCTTTTATTTTTCAACAAAAAAAAAACACAAATGTTGAAGCACCATTGAAGACTGATCTTCCTTGTGTTCCGATTTAAATTGTTGATAATGTGACATTATAGTGTAACACTTTGTCAATTTTGTTACGGGGGCAAATGTAGCACCAAAATTACGACCTGGTACCTGAGTAAAGCACTTCGCCACAAGCCTAACCTTGTGACAATCAATAGTACCATCCGCAAGAAACTTTAGGGTGTAAACCCAGCGACAGTCAATAGGCTTCACCTCTAAAGGTAAAAAGACCAGATCTCATGTATAATTATGCTAAAGAGCGTCTATCTCCGTTTGTATGACAAAAAACCACTAGGGCTCCCACATAGCCTCTGAAGCTGAGTGAGGAATCGGTGTATTTGATAAGACCATACTATAAGCTTGAAATGTAAGAGAAAGATCACCATAAGAAACATAAGTAGAGATTAGATATAAAAGTCCTGACGGTCCAACCATAACGAACAATTGGACGACGATCACTCTGTGGATAACGACGCCCTAAATCATCATCCTCCACTGACAATGTCTCATTAGGAAAAGTAACTAGCTCAATACCTGCAATCTCATCAGTACTAACAATAGGTGCATCAATATGCTCAACAAACTAAGAAGTATTACCTACATCGTCTGAGGTAGAGAGAACATCAACCGGGGGATGAGAGCGAGGCGATGAGCATAAACCTGCAAAGGAAGAGAGACTGGTGTCTTTGTACTGACAAAGACAAGTGGCTTTGGAGGAGGAGAGACTAAGGACTCTGTAGTGATAGTGATCAATGACTCTGACTCCTATGGTAACGAAAAATCAAAAGGGAGTATCATCAATTGTAGGGGCAAATACAGGCGTGGAACAAAAAATAAGGAATGTGCTCCATAAAAGTAACATCTAGACTATGATACATACGGCGTTTGACAGGATCTTAACACTGATACCCCTTAGATTGATGATAATAACCCACAAAAACACAACAAATCGCTTTATCATCAAGCTTATGGCGAGTAAGAGACCGATTCTGAACAAAATATGTGCAGCCAAAAACATGAGGAGGGACCGAAAAAAGTGTCCGCTCAGTGAATAAGACCTGTAAGGGAGTCCTATGCTGAATAACACGACTCGGTGTACGATTACACAGAAAGGTAGAAGTCAAAACAACAAAATATCAATAAGACTTTTGTACCCCCGTATCTCTAAGCATATAACGTACGATCCCTATTATACTCCTATTTTTCCTTTCAACAACTTTATTTTTCTCAGGAGTATATGGATAAGTGAGTTGCTGAAGAATACCCTTAGAGGAAAGGTGAGACACTAAGGGCATCGGGCATATATTTTTTGGCATTATCGTAAAACGAAGAGTACGAATAATGACATCGAATTGTATCTTAATCATCTGGAGAAATTGAGTGATGATAGGGAGTACATCAAACTTCTTATACAAAAGGTAAACCCAAGTATAACGGGTATAGTCATGTATAAATATCACATAGTATCGAGCACCTGACAGAGCAGTAATAGGAGAGAGTCCCCAAATATTAGAGTGTATTAGGTCAGATGGCTTGGGTGATTGGTGTATACGAGAAAAATAACTAGTCCGAACATGTTTCGATAGAAAATATATAACACATTCAAGTTTACCACCAACACAAGTATTGCTCAAAGCAGGAAATAACATACATAAATATTTAAACTTTGTATGTCCAAAACGGTTATGTCACAACTGAACAGTTTGTGATGAAAAATCATAACGACAAGTACTAGACAAAATATTTGCATGCAAGTTAGGAACAGATAAAGACAAAGTAGGTGCAGGTGATGGAGGTGGAGGAACTAGTGAAATTGGAGGTGGATCGCCTAGATAATACAATTCATCTCTCTTATGCGCCCTGATAATAATCCTCTTGGTACTCAGGTCCTACAAATAACACGAATCAGCTAAAAACACAACCACATAGTGAAAATCTCTGGCTAACTGATGTACGAATAATAGATTTATGACCAGTTTCGGCGCATGAAAAATCTAATGTAGTGTAATGTCATATGGGTGGCGGACTGTACCCCTACTAACAATAGAGACATGTGTCTCATCTGCTAGCTGAACCTGTGTATATAACTGCTCATGAAAAGTGGAGAAGTGATCAGCCTCACATGTCATATGACCATTCGCAGCCGATTCTAGCATCCAAAGGGGAGACGGACTGGCGCAAGCATGAAAGACATGAGGTATACCTGTAGTGGTGGCAGTAACAGTAGTCGGACGTTGAGAAGTCAAGACGGACATAAGTATATCCAATCGAGAAATGATAGCATCCATATCACTTTGCCAAGAAGGAATAGTAGCAGTAGCAAAAACAACGACAGTAGGTGGTGGTACCTCAACAATAGCAACAGTACGGTTGCGAGGAGGCGGCTTAAACTCCGGATAGAGTTTCCAGCAAGTAACCCGGAGATGGCCTGGTTGGTCACAATACTCACACCGACGAGAACCAGGAGATACATTCTAAGTGGAAGTACTAACAACAAAGGTCTTAAGAGTAGAGGTCTCAAATCCCTCAGACTAATAAAAAAGTTGTGAAATTACATCCACTGATTTATACACAATCTAAATAATATGTATCACATAATGTGACATCACAAAAATGTGACATCCATATATATTGCTTTTAATGAATGTTAGTATTATATAATAGTGTACCATTGCAAAATAATACTGTTGTTAGATTTGAGAACTAGAGTCGTTTAACATTAAAAAATAATAAAAAAAATAAATTTCAGGTCAAGCCGTTCAGGCATATTCTGTGTTGTATTATCTCAAATATGTTTAATCTCTTAAAATATAAAACTATTAATATAATAAATTAAATCTCATAAAAAATTGAACTATCAAACTAACAGACTTTAAAATAAGAAAAAGAGTATTTTAGTGAAGAAAATATTTGAAAATATGTCAATGAGTACCTAAGTATAATACATTTCAACAAAAAATTTTAGTTAAGGTATTTTTTCACAATTAAATAATTTAAAATGTACCGGTTCACAATTTTCATTTTTCTATTATAAGTGGATTTTCCCTAAACCATTTAGGGTGGTGGATTAAATTTGGAGCAAATAGGATTTCTTATAAAATGACTATTATACCCCTTACTTTTTAAAAATATTGAATTGTTTAAGAGGTATAATGGTAAAATTCAAT